GAAGGCCAGTGCTAAATTTCTAATACCAAAGACTGCAGTGACTCTGAAAAGGCTGATGAGTTTCTTTAAAACATGTTTTTGCTCTTGAAATGACTCTGTAATGAAGCTTGATGACTCAGTGAGGCAGATGTAGCCAAAAAATGCTTATCATGTCTCTCAAAAGGCAGAGGGGGCCTAGAAGTGGAAGAGGGGTCCAAGAAGAGGAAGAAAGGACACAAAGGTGAGACTGCATGACATCCATAATCCTCCAGTTACCAAGCCACTTTTCAGTGGGCCAGCACCTGATGTGAATTACAACAGCCTCCAGGGTCTTGCAGTGTATGTTGCCTGCCAACAGATCCTAGGAGTCATTCTAGCAATCACAAACCAGTGCCCCTGTTATTCTTTCCTCAGGCCACATGCCTTCTCCCAGCCAAAAGGAGGAAGGATGGCACCAGTTCAGCTCCACCAGCAACTCCCCTTACACTGGAGACACTAAGAAGGACAGATCTACACAGCTTTGCACTGTAGAACAGAAACTGAACCTTTGACTTCTAAAGATATTCATCTTCAGACAATACAGTTCTCATTCTGGAGATTAAAGGGCTGCTGAGGTGCCATTGATTGTTTTGGAAATTATTTTCATGAAAGAATGCTGGTACTTCTCCCAGTCTGAATTAACAGTCCACCAGGACTGGAGCCAGGAGCGTTCCTCTAATAACAGAACAATTATATTACTTCTTATTTCACTTATGCCAGAAATTACACAGCTTGATAGCTTGGAAAAGAAAAGTTGCTGGTACCCATATTTCATTTTACTGTGTATGAAGACATCCACTTCATCTGATTTGTAAGTAAAATAGTAAGTGTGAACACTCTGAGAAAAATCACATTGGTCACAGAGTACATAACAGCCAGCTCCAGGCCTTAAGCCTGAAGTGAAAATATAAATGAGGTACAGTTTCTTTTGTGATATCAAGAAGCCTATATTGCTGGTTAACAACTTCTATTGGATTTTGTTATACCTTTTGAATAACCTCACTGACTACTTAATAAAACACTTCAGAGTAAGTAAAATAATAACAAAATGTGCTCTCTGCGGAAACTTGTTAAAGTGAGTATTAAATCCTTCATGTGTTTAACCTGTTCACTGACGTGTTTTGGCACTGATTCTGTGAGGTAACATAATAGCATTTTTCAAAATAGCACATTCAAACACCTTCCCTACTGCTTTCTTCTTGCCCATACTGGCACTCTGTTATGGTCATATTTGGCACAGAGAGCAGGATGGTATTTTATTCCAGCCATCTGACACACTATGCTTGTTTTGGCTTGACATAAAAATATGTTTTCTTTACTAAGTTCAGGACAAAGATGTGTTCCTCTAACTTCTAAAATTTTTGGCATGCTCGGTTTATTTATTGAACTGAGGATAAATCATGTGCGCAGTCGCTATCATTCTTAAGCAAGAAATGCTCCAAGAAGAAGGTACTTTTGGAGTGTTTTTTAAACTCAGCCAGTCGTCTCTCCTTCAACCCCATAGCTGGATCCCTTTTTATGGGAATCAAGGCCTTGCAGCAGTCAAGGGCTTCATTAGTTGTACTGTCCCGCAAGGGTGTGAACACTGGAGTGCTCCATGAATTTAAGCTCTGAGTGGGAGCCAATAAATATTCTTCAATGAATAGTGCCAAAGGTGGACAAGAACACAAAAAAAGCATCAAAATCAACAAACCCAAAGGAGCTACTTGGTTTCTCTGATTAGTCAGGGTCAGCTGGAGGTCCTTACACTAACTAGAAAAGTCTTTGATAGAGGGGAAACAAAATTTTCAAATAATAAATTTTCCCGATCAACATCATCCTGGCTTTGCTGCCACTGAGATTCAATTAGTTACTCCTCACTGAAACTCTCATTTCCTGGAAGCTGTGTGAAGCTTCACTTTCTGAAACAGTAGGTGAAGAGTGAGCAAGGGACATGTAACCAAATATCCCTGTGGACAAGGGAGCTCCTGATATTATACCATCTCTCCCAGTCTCACAGATCTGTTGAAAAGCAAGACCACAAGATAGATCTCTCTGGGATACTCACGTGGGGCTCTCTGCAGTGAAAGACCTCTAACACGCATGGCCCTTTTCTTTCTGTTGAATACAAAAAAACAAACATGCCATGCCCATGTAAAATGGGAAATGCATGCAGAAAGTACAACTTCTTTCAAAGATTCACACAGCTAAATCTGAAAGGCTGTGAAAGGAGTGGGGCTGACAAACATCCCAGAGATGAAGACATCCACTTCATCCCCAGAGAGGAAGACATCACAGTGATTCAGCCAGCAACATGGGAGGATTCTTCAGTTGGGTTTTCCTGCACCCAACAAAGCAGAGGGTCATGAAGAAGAAGACAGTTAACATTACTTTCAAGTATTTGTATGCCATCCCTCTCAAACTGTAGTTTCAAGGTGGTGCTATCTGACTGACAGAAATGAGGAGGCATTTCTGCTACTGCTGGGCTGAAAAATCACCATATTTGACCTTACATTCGAGTAGTAACTGCTGATTTTACGCAGGAGGCTTTTGGATCACGTGATCTGACAGCACACTGCAGTTTTGATGCCCATAGTTCTCCAGCTGGATTTTATTTCTCTCATAGTTTGGCTGATAGGTATGGGTGCGTGTGTGTGTGCGAGTATGCATGCATATATATGCATGTGTGTTACATACACTTCACTTTGCAGGTTTAGGTTTACAGGACCGCTGGTGAACGATCAGTCTGTCTGGAAGAAAAGTACGCCCACAAATATCACATGGAACTAGCTGGTTCTGGGCGCTGATCCAGGCAGCCTCATTTAAAGATTCAAGATCATAGAAACCTTTGGCTGGAAAATTAAAAAAAGAAAGTATCAGTTTTCATTCTGGAGACCCACATTCAACTCTTCATGGAAAATATTTTCAGGAAATACCTGTTGACTGAGCCTTTCAGTTTAACTAAACCATATTGCTTTTGCAAATGAAAAAGAAAGAAAATAAAGAAGTAAAAGAGTAAAAAAAATATTAAAAAGACACTGTTTTTTGTCCCAGGGGTTGAATTAAATTAATTTCAAACTGAATCATTTTGTATCGTATGAGAGTACAGAGAAAACATTATGCTGTCTGTTATAATACGCATTCTCAGCTAATTATTAACATCTTTTCATACATACTATTATCAGCAAATTTCACTTTTTGGCTTTACTTCAAGTTCTGTTTAATGAGTATGTGATATCTGACCACGGCAATGGGTGGGAGTGTATCATACTTGAAAATACACTCTTTGTACTGCTTTGGACAAGGGGTCCAATTTTCTTTTTGTTTAAGTCTATGCAAGTTTTGCTAGTAAGTGGAGTAAAGCTTAGGTAAGCCTAAAACCTTACAGAGAGTTTTTTTAAGCCACAACTTCCAGTGAGGTCATTGCACCGATGCATCTATTGTCATTTAAACACTAATCCAGTCTTACTCTTAGCTATTTTCCACTGTGGGAAGAGTGACTGCTCTGAAAGTTCAGCAACATTCTTCAAACAATCACCTCAGATGTATTTTCAAGATTTTATTTGAGTATTAAAAAAGTCTTTTTTACTTTCATCTTGAAATGGACTTTTACATAATGTTGTTTCAAACCAATTTCCAAAAAGGCCAGTTAGGTTCCTTAATACCTGGATTTAGATCTTAAGAGTTTTCATCTGAAGTGCATGTGAAAAAAATCTATGCGGCTTGATTTGAAGATGTATTTGCTTCCCTTCTCAATGACAATACAGAAAAAGACTAAAAAACTGGTTTTGTCTTTGAACAGTTAGCAGCAGACAATTTTTAAAATAAAAGGACTTGTGCATTTAAAAATATTCCATGGTTTCTGTCACTGGCACATGATAGAGCTCTTCATTAAAGACCCATACAGTTTTAATATGATTCATATCCAATGGTTCACATAACCACAATAAGCCTTAGATCTCTTAATATGCCTGTTCCTAATGTTCTTTTTGTTAGAAGAGCAACCAAGTAGTGTTTCTTTTCTTGGCTGAGACAAATATCGCCTTTGCTTGCAGGAAATGAATGTGTATTTTCTGTACTTTGGAAAGTTTATTGAATATAAAAAAAAAGAGAGAGATGCCTTTCTCCTTGGAGGCATGTGTTAGGCATTCCACGAACAAAACACTGTGTAATCAGGGCAGCAGTTGTCTTCCCATGACACTTGAGTTTTCAGAAAAAGATTTATGTAAGTTATAAAAAGTTTAATGTAAGCAGTTAATATTTCTGAGCTTTTTTTGAACATTGCCAGTTCCATTCAACAACAGGGGTAGCCCCTCCTCCCTGAGTTGAGAAACTGTGAGACATGCAGTACGTGTATGTGGTCTCAAGGTCAGTTATAGCATTTACCAGATGATCGAGAGTAAGTCTTACGGAAAAAGAACACCACTGAGATTATTTTCTCAAGGCCAAGAGCATGAGGCAACTGCAGGGGGAACAACAATTTTAGCTCAGGCTACAGAACTGATCAGACTTGCATCAGCAGGCATTTAGGGACAGATGCTGGAAGCAGGTCAGTGTCCCCTGGGGAACCGTAGGCACACAACACCTCACAACAGAGATGTGTGGCGCCTGATATGAATCATTGCATAAATGAGACAATTTTCTGATTCATATCTGGGATCTTTCTGCTGGATTGTTCTCTCAAAGAGTGGTTGTCTTTCTGCTTCCACTCCCTCAAAATAAGAATAGTGCATTTCAAAATAACTTGATTTGTTCTTTTGTGTCCTTCTCTTTCAAATGCAATGCTCATTTTCTCCATCTTCTTTACCACACGTTGTGCAATAATTAAAAAAAGCTTAACAACAAAAAGAACAAATACAATGAAAGTGTCTTTTGAACCTATCTTCTACTTCAGATTCAACTCTGCTGCTTGGCATCTGTTAACCAAGTCCCGATTTCATATTATTTGAGCTGTGATTATTATTATTTTGAACAGCTGGTTAGTGTTCTCAGTGATCCTGCTTTCTTCCGTGTGTGTCTTCTGGGGACATATTTCTTTGTATTGCTGTAAACTGATCTAGTGTATGACTCTTTTACAGTGAGTTGTAGGAGAATTTATCTACTTTTCCAGACATTAGGGGAAGCTGCAGGAAATTATGGGGAATATGAAAAAAAAAAGTGGGTGAATTAACTGCCTGTGAGCAAGTGGTCCAAACTTGGCCCAGAGTAGCTCAGACCAGCTGGCAGGGCCAGGGAAAACATCCAGCTGAAATGGTGAAACAACTTTATGTGGAAAAAAGGGGAAGTCTTGGGAGCAGCTTCCAGGCAAAGCACAGGTAAGATTTCCTTTTGATCCTACAGTGAGCACACACCCCTGAGATACATATGGAAGCCCAATTCTGTCGGGTTCTTGGGAACATCAGTTTTCATTGATTTGAAGAAGTGGTGTCTAGGCATCTTACCAAACAGAACTCACAGTACAAACACATCCAATAATTGGCAGAAATAAAATGTTTAGTTTATACTACATGTATTTTTCCCTACTGTGTTTATATTACTATGTTTCAAAAACAAAGCTTCTAAGACTTGTAAATAAAAAGGGATCAATAACATCCACTGTTATTGATACAGTCGTACAACAATATTTGTAAGGCACTGCATTTTTATCTATAAATTTATTTCAATAAAACCCTGAAACTATAGTATATGTTACAGTTGGTTTTAAAAATACCTTATCTTTTATCAGTCAACATGCACCTGGTATTATATTTCTTATATTACGACAGAAGTACTTTTGAGGCCACTCACTGTTTACCACTGTGCTAAGTGCTAGTGTTAGGCTGTTTCATAACCAATGCTAGAGGTGTAAAACCTGGCCAAAGTATCTATCCCTTTGTTGCCCGAAGGGTACTTTATTTTAATGACTACATGTGTCAAGTCTGCATATCATTCTTGGATGCTTTTGTTCTTTTTAAGCTATGCTTCTGTACAATGTTGGAAGTAGTCAGAAGGTAGCGATGTAGCTGTGATGCATCAGGGTGCTAATCTTTTTTGTGTTTTGACTTAGAACATCCTGACGCATAAAAAGGGCTGCCCTAGGAGGCATGTCCCACAGGATAATGACTACTCTTACAAGGAGAACAGGATGCTTAACAGAAAGCTTAAAACAAGCCATGATGGCTACCTTCTTTTCTGTGTAAAATGGAGAAAGAAGTACTTGAAAACCACTAAGCTGCTGCTTAAAACTTTTTTTCCTCCCTCCCACTTTCTTCCTCCCATTTCCTCATTTGGTCTGTAGCTTACCTTGTATGGTAATGACTTCAGGCTTTTTGGGCTCTGGCCTTCTCAAGTGCTTGGGTAGCATGTCATTCTCCCGGTGCCATTTTTTTAGGCATTGTGGCTCATGGATACTAATAGATTTTGTTCCGTATTCACGGCCACATATGTAACAAATCACTGTTGGTGGCTGCCTTATCACTTGTGCCTGCAAATAACAATTGTGAAGAAGCATAAATATAATTTTCACCAGTAATTTTGAATCAGAGCAACTTTGGATGAAAACAAGCAGGTAGATTAAGAAACTGATTCCGAGCTGTGAAATAAGTGGAACTGTTTCTATCAATTGCATTTTGCCTGGATGCATTCTTGAAGCTTGTAAGAGATATTGGCTCATTAACTGGCCACGTGGAACACGTAGGCTCCTTCTGCAGATACTAGGCTGAAAATTCATGTGTGTCACCTAATTAAAACCTACCTATGTAGGTTTTAGCTCTTTTATTTTCACTCCAACAAGTTTATGGAAATGCTGAGTCTTCACATGCAGAAACAACTCCTCTGCTTGATCAGGCTGCTGCTGCACAGTGTTCATCTTAAATGTTGAAGACCTTTTTTTATCTACCAAGAGAGAAGTAACATGGAAAGCAGCAACAAAAGCTTCCTCAGCTGAAGTGCTGATGTTTAGTGCAGCAGCAGATAGACTCCACCTCCAGGTAGAACACAGTTAAAATGGTGTGTCCAGCCTTAGCATCCCTCTTAAGTTGTGCAGTGAGGGCAGCTGTCTCAGTCTTGTGATTGTAGTCCCTAACCCCACATTACTTCTGCCACAGATCAGTTAGCTGGTGGAATTCTTGACCTTGAAGGATTAAAACTGATCCAGGATATTCCAGGATAGGGGGCAAAAAAAGGAACTGTTGCTTGTTTAACCCAAAGTAACCAGAGTGTGGATTTTGCCAGTGACTGCAGTGAGGGCAAGGGACTGGACTCCAAGCAAGTCATTGTTTTTGCACTGCAGATCTGCTTTGGTACACAGAGAAAAACAGCTCAATGGAAGAAAAAATCCCTCAAACCCAAACCCCACAAATACATATTCTAAGCTTGAAAAATATATAATTATTGTGGTATTGCAGATCATGGACTTGACTGTGTCCTTAGGCACGTCCTGGGCTAGGCGTGGTGTCAGCATCAGCTCTGTGCCAGGAGCAATGTAAAACCATACTGCAAAGACAGCACTTTGAGGCACGCTGGTGGATCTCACAACTGACAGCATTTCCTGCACTCCCCACTGCAGAATACCAGTAAGAGATGAGCTGTTCCTTGCCCTCCTAAAGGTAGAGGGACAGCCATTCCAGACCAAACACGGGAAGCCTTTCTCACGCAAACAAGGGAGGTGGGGATTTCATTTTTTCCTCTGCTGCTGTGTAAGACAAAGCGTAACCTGTTCCAGTATTTATGACTCTCTCTGACAGCTCATCAGTGTATTCAAGAAATTCTGGGCAGCTCTTCTTGCATTTATGCTACAGTCTGAAAATGTCATTAGTGAACAATCTGCATAAGCTTTCTTTCCTGTATCACACACGTAAACTCAATTAGAAAAAATATTACTCTACAAAGTGTATTTTTGCTGGGAAAAGCTGGACTTCATCTGGAAAGTTCTCACAGTGAATTGAAATATAACTTATCGAAAGATAGTCTTTCCAAGGACATTTTTGTCCTTTTAACTTTCAAATGGAATTTCCTTACCCATCTTTGATAACAAGATTTTATAAATATATATATATACACAATATTTTCCTATTCATAGCTGAATATAGCAACAGTTGCTTTCAGAATGCTCTCTAATTTTTCATTATCAATTTTTGCCTACTTCCTTACTTCAGCTCTTGAGCTAGACCTTGTCTGATTTGGTGATAATTCTCTGGTCCAGATACAGAGTCTTCTGAAGGCATTGTATGTTTCCTTCTAGGCTCTGGAGAGCTTTACATGAGGATACTTGAGGTCAGCAGACTCATTTCTGTGTGCGTGCTTGCTACGGGTATGCTTATAGCAACATGCTAGATATAAAAACACTGGGAAGACATTTTCTTCTCTAGTTTTCACTAGCTAGGTTCCTGCCATTCAGTAAAATAGATAATTTACTGGCTGAAAACTAGGAAAGAGCAATTTGATTTACACTGGGTTTGTAGGCACTCTTTACATACTACCAGAAGGGGAAAAAGGAATCCTAGTACAAATGGAAATCACACTTTCTTAGCCTGCACTGTCACAATCATTTCCACCATATGCGGTAGTATAATTAAAAAAAATGTATAGCTTCAAGGACACTTAAAGTCATGATATGAGCCAGGTGAAAAATCACTTAAAAAGTTAAATACTCCAATTATATTTAACAGATCACAGGAATATTTTTGTTAATATCAAATAGTTTTTATCTTAGAAATATTTCCCTAGTGAATGGAGATAGCCTTTTATCTCTGTCTGCTTCATTCACATCCATTACACATGTTCTAAAGTAATTGTGATGTTCTGCTATTGAACAACTGCAAGAGACCTACAAGACAAAAGTTAGTGATCTCCATCCAGTGCAATCTGGATAAATTTCTACAGTTCTGAGATGGCCTTTTTGGTAGTCTCACCTGAAAAACTAAAGATGAAATGAGCTGTACTGTGACCCCTCCAGATCTTGACAGAGTATTTATAAGTGGGTTTTGTGTTGCAACTAAGCAAAGCTAAATAGAGGATTCTGTTTTCCAAGGTTATCAATAGGGATTGATTCATAACTAAATTCTATTTGGTGAAAAAATGCTTAAGAAATTTATTCAAGTAGAAATGTCTCTGTTTTCTAACTTCCACAATTAAAAACTGTATAGAAACAATAGCAGAGACCAGAATTAATTAAAGGGAATCAGATCACTCTAAGGATGGAATAATTTTTTCCAGAAATTTAGTGAGTTTGAACCATCACCACACATCAAATTAAATAAAAAATTCTTCTCTGCAAATACGCACATGTTAAAATCTGGATAATAAAATCTGAAGGAGAATATCCTTACAATTGGTAGTAACATCTCTTTTGTTGCTTAACTGTGGAATTCAAGGTATGACAAGCTTTATTTGGAATTTCTACAGCTGATGATATTTATTCTTCATTTCTTTTTCTCTTCAGAGTGTGCCTATCCCAAATGCCACATCTGGAGGCCTGCAGTTTGAAACGAAACTATTTTTGGAATCACCACAATTTTCCAACCCAAACTACTCACAGGCCAGCGGCTAGGCTGTCTGCTCACTGCTTTGTTTTTCACTTTTAAAAAGGGTTGTAGGGAAGGTCTGTTCCTGTGGATATGTGCTATAAAAAAACCTACAAATACCTACCAGTGCAGTTAGGCTTTCCTCTAGTGTCTCAATATTTTCTTTTTTCTCCAGAACTGCTAAGTATGTCTGCGTGACCATGAATGAAGTTATTTAGCTCAAAGGGCTATGCAAATATGTATTTTCAATGGACCTGACATTGCTTGAGGTTAGCCCCAGGCTGCTGTTATGGAGTTATATGAGGTCAAATCCTCCCATACTGCACAAAGCTCTTAATTTCTTAAGCACACCCAATGAGACTGACTCCCAAACTCCTATCCATAAATTTGGACACACTCTCATCTTTCTTTTTTGTTTAATTATCCATGTATTTTAAAGGGAGGAGGATAGGCGTCCTGTTCTAGGCCAGAGCTCTCATCATAGACTTGAATCGCTCAAGGAACAGAGGTTCAGGAAAAGACTGGTACAAGCACTTAGCAATAGCATCATATTGTATGAAAACAGCCCCTTCCACACATTCCTCTCTGAAAAGTAAGTGTCATTTTGCATAAGGGATAGGGACAAGCTGTGGTGTGACTCTGATGACCATCCAAAGGTGCATTTCTCAGCCTTCTGGAGTGCTTTCAGGCACTGCCAAGACACAACAGCCTCAAACAGCTTTAGGAATGCTCATGTGCCTGTGTATGAAATTTCCTTGAACAGCAAAGCAATTCTGCTCTACGATGCAGGCAATTTTACTCCACTGGAAGCACTAGAATATCCCATTTTACTCATTATGTGCTATCTTTTAAAATAAATACATCAGTATAATGAACACAGCATTTGTGTAAAAGCAGAAACACAGGAAGCTCAATCATTCCCAATGATAATACTCAACAAGTTTATTTCAAACCATCCATTCACTGTCCATTCTCATCTAACTTTCTATATCTGAAAATACAGTTGTCAGTATTCTCCGAAGATGTTCAAAACTGCTGCAACTGAGGCAAATTTTATCATTGACTTCCCACCTTCATTAGAATTACACAGCACCTGAAGGAGTTTTCATTTTTCCAAGTGACAAGATGTCTTTATGCTATAGGAAGATACAACATCAACATTTTGCTGCTACACAGGTTTTCAAGGCTTATGCTGTCCTAAAATGCATTACAATACAGTAAAGGAAGATCACTGAAATCTTATTTTTAGGTACCTAACTCAATAAGAAGAAAACAGCAGATGGCAGCACCAGATGCTAGTGACATGTCTGACAGGATTTTAGGATCACTGTTATCTGTTGTCCAAAACCGTAACACAGACAGCCACAGCAAGCCATTAAGACTCACTTACATGTAACAGACACCGCTTCCATTATCTGGAGTATCACAGTAGAATCCAGAATTTCTGAGATGATGTGATCCTTAAGAGTCTCTTAAGCATAGGCTGTTGTTTGCTATACACAGCCAGACAATTAACTCAGATGTTAAGTGTTCATGTTATGTGTTTAGACATGTTCATGCTTTCTGAGAGTGAGGACAGTTAGTGGAATAGATGGCTTACGGAGACTGTCGAGTCTCTGTCTCTACAGACACAGAATCATAGAATCATAGAATGGTTTGGGTTGGAAGGGACCTTAAAGATCATCTAATTCCAACCCCCCTGCCATCAGCAGGGACACCTTCCACTAGACCAGGTTGCTCAAAGCCTCATCCAGCCTGGCCTTAAACACTTCCAGGGAGGGGGCAGCCACAGCTTCTCTGGGCAACCTGTTCCAGTGTCTGACCACCCTCACAGTGAAGAATTTCTTCCTAATATCTAATCTAAACCTCCCCTCTTCCAGTTTAAAGCCATTACCCCTTGTTCTATCATTAACTGCCTTTGTAAAAAGTCCCTCCCAACATTTAATGCTGAACTGAGTGTTTGTCAGTAATGATACTAGTCCAGTTGATCCTGCACTTGCTAAGGGAGATAGAGGTTCAGGACGGAGACATGCAGGTAAAAGTACTTTCAGTTGTGAAGATAAAATGCCCTTCATGTGATGTACCACCAAGTCAGTCAGATCTTTATTTTTAAAATGAGGAAAATCCAGCTTTTAAATTTAGGACTTCTTTCATTACATAAATTAATTTCACAGTAGCATGACAGTTCTTAAATATACTTATATAATGGTTGGTGGTTTTTTTCAGTTATTCCTTTCCTCTGATGTTTTGCTGAATCAGAACTTTAAGCAGGTACTTAATTCATTGTTGCAGTAAGTAGATCTGTTAATTGAGACACGGACTGCCCCAAATGCTTCCTGCCAGGACCAAAGCAGATTGCCATTTCACTCCATTACTGGTATTTTTTAACAGAATTAAAAAGCAGCTGAGTAGCTGGTAAGGTGAGGAAAATTAAAACCATATGCTGGAAATAGAGGAAAACTGTAGACATTGTCCCTGTACATAGCAAATATGCAGTCCTTCTGTAAGCTTAGTGCTTTTCAACATCATTCAGTGTGTGGACCTTTCAAAACTTTCATCTGGAGATGGAGACCCTCATATAGAGAATTTAAACCTATGGAAAAGAGGCTTCCTTTGACCACTTCTTAGAAGCAGTCTGCAAGTCCTGAACAGCCCCTGGGATCACAGGATATTTCTTTCACTTTTTCCTTTTTTATCCTTGCCTTTAATGCTTACCTCTGTACAGAAGGACAGCTCTAAAACTAATAAAATGAAGGACCTCAGAGAGGCAAAATCCATCATTCCTTCCTGAAAATAATTGTTAATAATAAAGTCCTTCAGAGTCAATTACAAACTGCAAGCTGTACAGCCTCATTAGTTCTGCTTCAACTGATGAACAGTAACTGCTTGGAAGTAAATGACGAAACCTGTTGTTCACACAAAAGGAAGAACAGATTCGAACACATTTCATTCTGGCTCCGCAGAGCTCACAGAATTAAAAAGTGGTAATGAAGTTGTTGTTCAACAAGTCAGCAGATGTGACTGAATCCACACGGGGATGTTGTGCAAGAGGGCAACATTTTAAAAAAAATCACTCTCAACACCAAACCACACTCTGAACTTGTTTTTTTTATGACATTGCAACTATGGTCATTCCACACACACACACACACACACAGACACACACACACCCTTTTTTACAAAAAGTGAACAAAATTTTGATGGACAAAAATCTCTGCTTCACACTCATGCCTTTCATTGAACAATCACCTTTAGATCAATGCCAGTTCTTTAGTAAATGGTACAAAGTAGTGTAACGCAACAAGAATATGTCCTTTCCTATAGACATAAATGCACCTGTGCAGCACTTTGAACTGTTTGTGGGTTGTTTGAAATTTGCTGATAAAATATCTGAAGAGTGGATCTAATTTACCAATATCTATGACTTAGTGGCCTCAAATAGTACAATATAAAAATGCCTCACATATTGTCTTTATTCTCGTGTTTGTTAGGGTAATGCTATTATCTCCATTTTATTCAGCAGCTGGAAAACTGAAATACAGCATGCTTTGACTTTTAAAACATTTTTAGAAATGCTCTGCATAGCACTGCATTCCTCTGGTGACTGAGAAAGCTAAAACTCATTTTCAAAAGTAATGCAGGCAATCAGGAGTCCAACTCCCATTAAAATAAAACAAAAAAGCGCCTTTTATTTTAGACACTAGGCCTAAATTTAGACATCTATCTTTTTACAAAACTCCTGGCCAAAAGACAGCTTGTACAGAAACAAATGGAGAAAAAACATGCCATTTTCCAAAACTGTGTGCAGCTTTTGGATTATGTGCATCAGCTTCTTTTTTCTTGGATATTGAATCAAATTCAGTGGAAATAAATGTATAGTCTTATTTTGTTGTTATTATACTCCAAGTTGCTGCCCTTGAACATGTAGTCCTCAGTAAATTTGAGTTCCACACCAAGGTTAAGAAAAATGGTAAAAACTGAAAACCGCTGGAGTGCTTATAAGATAATGAAACACCAGATTTCACGTTAACTAAATAAAAATACTTAATACCTGGTAAAACATATAACATTCAAAGCTTGCCTAAGCTGCTCCACAGAATCTTCTAAGGAACTGTAGCACATAAAGGTCACATTCGGGGACATAACTCTCACAGGACTACGCAGTTGTACAGAAACCAACTACTCCCTTCCAACAAGAAATTCAAAAGAAAAAGGAGTAAGTAGTTACCCTTACAAATGCAATGTGCCCTGTTCCTTTGCCTTCTAATTAATAAAGAAACATTTGCACAGAACCAAAAGATGCTTCTGAAGGAAAGTGATTTCAGATTTGATGGGAACCCAGCCTCCCCTGGAATGCCTGGCATCAAAATGCATCCGCACTCTTTCACACAGCACATGCTTAGCAATTTACCTTGTCTAACGCAGCTGGTGCAGCCTTGTTCTTTCCTTGACGAGCCTTAGATGGATCATCACTTGCTGAGCCAGAACCAGAGCTTGGCCCTTTACCGGAGCTACGGGGGCTAGAGCCTGACAGCCCCACACCGCTGCTGCCTCCTCTGCAACTCCTTTGGTGCACAATGAGACGATCGGGAAGAAAGGTTCGTCCACAGTTTCCACAGGGCAGGAGCTGGGCTTGAGCACTATGATAAGCTGCCTCATTTTCAGCTGCAGGCATACAAGAACCACCAGCAAGGACCTCAGGTTTTCTCGGCTCTGCTCTTCTGAGATGCCTTGGTAGCTGATTGTTTTCAATATGCCACTTCTCTAGGCACTTGGGTTCATGTATAGAAATAGACTGTGACCCAAATTCTCTGCCACAGATATAGCATACACTGAAGCGAGGTCTTCTTGGTGGGATGTGGGGCCGATCCAGTGGCATCTGAGACATGTTTGAAGAATCTGACCGTTTTGATATTATTGCAGTGCCTGGTCGCCTTTTTAGGGGTCCAGCTTCTAGGTGTGTTACTCTGGGCAAAATTCTGGGAAGATCTGACACAGTAGATGGTGAAACCTGCTCTGAAGGCAAGATGCTAGAGACACTAGCAGGGCTCTCTCCAGCCTTTGGCAGAGTGTTACAGGCTTTGTTCACATTCTTTTTCTTGACTTTTGTTTCCATGAAGGGTACAACATTTCAAGAAACTTCTCTCTCCTCTACACATAAAGGCCTTCAGAAAGTCTGTTATTTAGCGTGATACTCCCTCTTCTCAACTCAGTTTCATGGGCCAGAACATACCAGTGACTTTACAGCTGGAAAACTGCATCTAATGTCCACTAAAGAGGGTTTCTGGTTTTGTTTTGCCTTTTGGTTTTACACGATCCTGAAACAAATTAAAACAGTACATACTAATAAACATCATCATTCTTGTTATGGTTACCAACCACTGGTTTATCACAAGGACTAGTTTACTCTGTTATCTTTTTAAATAGGAGACAAATTATATCAAATATATCCTGCCCCTAAATCTGAAATTCTAGTCTCAGAGGGTGTAAAGTCATGAAGGACATTAAAGAAGATGTGTTTGCACAGACTGAAGCTGCTGAAATACATGTGGTTTTGAGTATAATAAATATGCTTTATTTTCAGTTATTGACAGAACTAGTATATCTAACATAGGTTTTTAATTTCTAAGCCACTTACGCCGATAGTTAAACATAATTTCCTTGTCTCAAGAGAAAAGAAAATAAGTCCCTTAGAAGAAGGATGTCAGTGTCCAATCTCGAAAGGGACAGTCAGCAAGGAAAATGTTCCCAGTCTGTAAGTTAAAGGAAATTATTAGGCCCCTTTCCTCAGCACTTGTGAGGTGGCATCTCAAATTCTCTGACCAGACTTGATTTTCCCAGTACAAGAGAGATAATAATAAAATGGAACAAGTTTATCACTAAGAGCTGCTGAGATGCTTTGGAGGCTGAAGCATATGCCATGTAAGCAATTGGCTGATGGGCCAGGCTCAAAGGATTATAGTCAATGGGGTTACATCGGGATGGAGACTGGTCACCCGTGGGTTCCCACAGGGATCCATCCTGGGGCCGGTGCTCTTTAATGTCTTCATCAGTGACTTGGATACAGGACTTGAAGGACTGCTAACTAAGTTTGCCAATGACACCAAATTGGGAGGAGCTGTGAACACTCTTGAGGGCAGAGAGGCCCTGCAGAGAGCTCGAGATAAATTAGAGAGCTGGGCAATCACCAACTATGAATTTTAACAAGGGCAAGTGTTGTATTTTGCATCTGGGACACGGCAACCTTGGACACACACATAGACTGGGGAATGAGAGG